GATTTCCTAAGCAATCATCTAAAATCCACCAGAATGAATACCAGTTTCACTTCCTTGTTAGTGGGGTCTGACAGATTTACTTACTTCAGTTGACCCAATTAAGAAAAAATCGTGAACTCGGGGAGTCGAACCCACACAGCAGGGAAGGCTTTTGCGCAGCCAGCGCTCTAACATTGGGCTACGAAACTCAGCATGCGCCGTGAATTTAATAGCACTTGGATCGATTTTATCGTGACTGAATTAAGCAAATTTGCCAACCGCCCTAACTCCGGCAAATACTGTATTTCGTGTCCAGTCGGCTTCAGCCTTTCTGCCAGCCACTTTGCAATTTTCTGATAGAAGGAATTACACACATGTGGTGTCGGCTGTGCTCGAAGGTCTGGTTTGAGAACCTTTGGCAAACCATATAGCCTTGGGGGCGTTATGCCGGTGGGTTTAAGTGCGTTGAACTTCTGTTAATTTGAGGAACCGTTGTCTTTCAGTTTCCGAAGACATTTTATGAATTAGACTTCTGCGTTGTCAGTTGGGTGTTTATTTTTGCCCCCCTCTCTCCCTCTTCCTTTTGACGGGCCGACGTCAACTAAGCATTTCGAGTAATCTATGAAGTGTCAGCGGGTCCTTGCGATGGCAGAGGCAGTGGCCATACGGCTGACTAATCGAATCATGTGCACGCAGAAGACGTTTATACAGGCACCAAGGTCCCCCTGCCCGAAGATGGACTGAGCATGTGTTTTCGTCTCCTACCACTTCGCGTTACAGTGATGATGCAGGGACATAATCTAGTTATCGGACACCTCGTTTCCCCCTTCCCCTCCCTGAACCCCTGACAGCCCCAGCCTATAAGCCTTTTAATCTCCGAACACATTCAACTCTTTCTGCCCTAATGACTGTTTGTAGGATGTTTCAACTTTTGTAACTTTACCTCCCATTATATTATTGTAAAGGCTTGATGCCAAATAACCGAAAACCTAGGTTCGCCATACTCGAATTCTTAAATGCTTTTGTTGTGACTAGCTCACATCGAAGTGAAGTTTCCTGAAGTCCCGCAGCCGTTAATCTTGACGTCTGGGAAGAGCCAATCACCGTTGCTGCATAGATGCCCTCTGGGCCAGTGG